TGGCCAAAGAGGAATGACGATGAGAGAGGTCCTCCACGACAGTCTTGAACGAAGTGAAAGCGGTGGAAGTGGAAGTAGAAGCCGTGACCTCCTTCTTATCAGTGGCTTCAGTGGTTTCAGTGGAAGCTGTGGTAGCAGCAGCGGTTTCTCCATCCGTCGAGCCGACGCCCTCAAAGGCGCCCCCGTCCATGTAGAGCCTGAGGAAGTCGTTCCGGCTGACGCACGCCTGGCAGAGGACCTCGAGGAAGCGCGGCTTCGTCAGCGGACGGCCGCTCTTTTGAAGGTGCTGGGAAGAGCAAAAGTGTTGGACATTGTTGGTTAGATTGTGTCTTGATTGGTTCTTTGGTCCTAAAAAAAGCTTACCCGGCCGTGGAACCAGTCCTCGCAGATGCCGCACTGCAGCATGCAGTCCTCCACGTCGTCCTCCTCGTCCGGGTACGGCCGATTGCAGGTGCAGTAGAGGCCGTCAAAGTTGTGGTTGTACTTGTTGGACTCATTCAGCAGGCCGCGCTTGTCGAAGAGCTTGCAGACAAAGTTGGCCTTTTCCGCGGCGAACTTGTCGGTGCCGCAGTCGCAGACGAAGTTCCGCTTCGTGTACAGCTCCACCAGGTCGTGGCCCTCGTGGCAGTGGATGCTGCAGGCGAGGCAGACGCCCGCCTGGTGCTTCGCCCCCGTAGCCGGGTCGGCCACTGCCATCTCGCAGGTCTTGCAGGCGTACAGCGCCTGCCGAGGGGGGTCCTGGTGGTGGTGGTGGTGGAAAAAGTGAATTTCGATTTAGAATTAAGTAAAACCCGTTTTAAAGGGGGTACCACCACCACTACCACTTACCGCAGCGTAGGAGCAGTTGATCTCATCGGAGCCGCCGAGCACTGCCTTGGCGTTCAGCTCATTCTCCTCGAGCTCGTCCACCTCCTTGAGCACGTCACCGAGCATTACCAGTCGGTCTTCACTGTCGTCGCCCACTGTCTGATCATCGTCCTGAGAAGTGCTGCAGGCCTGGTCCAAGGGGGCAGTGGTTGTTGTTGCTGTTTGTGGGGCGTCCTCTGACAGCTTGCTGACAGCAGCCACTACCACTTCTTCTTCTTCTGTTTTCTTGGTCTCCTCTCCTTCATTCGCCACCGCCGCCTTCTTCTCCTCCTGATCCATCGTTGGCTTCAAGAAGATATGCAAACAAAGTCAAGAAGAGCTCAATCGATCAAATCGATCCTTAGCAGTAAAAGGCGAAGCACTCGCAGCTCTGGGCGCGAGAGTGAATCCAGTTTTTTGTTTTGAAGCTGCTCTAGTCGACGCTCTCACAGAGTACGTCTCCCCCGCCAGCATCAAAAACATCGTCTCCTCTCTTTCCCCTCTCCTTATCAGCTCCACTACAAACGACCGCCGCCGCCGCTGCTGATAAAAGCCACAACGCTAAACTCTGCTGCTTATCGGTCATCGGTATCAGCAGGAGCAGCAGTAGTTATCCGCCAGCACCATCAAGAATCCCTTCATCGAAAACCGCCGCTGCAACTTGCACACTGTGCTACTGCACCCGACTATTTCCACCAGCGCATTTCTGTCCACCGCGCTTCAAGCTCTCGTAGACGGGCTCTCGAAAAGATGGCAGCCGAATGAGCGAGAAAGAGAACAGAGAGGGAACTGGGAAGCCGATTCCTTCAGCGAGTGGCATTTAAGGAAACCAAAGTGAGGATCATGAAGAGGAGTTCCAGGATCAAATACCAGAACTTTTTCTGAAATACCACAACTGAAAACTTCTCCCCGGTGAAGCTCACAATAGTACCCTTCTGATTCTAGTCACCTCGCCCAGTCGAGCGTTGGCCACCCGTCGGGCGGCCATCTGCCGTCGTCTGTGGTTTGCTTGGCTGCAATGAGATCTGCTGCCGCCGCTGCTTCTGTTTCTACCCTCAAGCTCTCTCTTTCTCTCTCTCTCTCTCTCTCTCTCTCTCTCTCTCTCTGATCTCGCCACATCGAGTTTCCCAGTCAGTGCGGTTTGTTTATTGTCTGCCTTTCTCTTTCTTTCTTTCTACGGCGGCTGTGAGTGACTTCGAAATTGCTGGGGTGAGGAGATTCCCCTCACTCTCTGCTACCACAAAGGTGTGATCATCATCATCAACTTAGCCGTTGCCTGTGCTTTTCACCTTTGTTCTGGTGAACCTAAGCTCGGCTTTTCATCTGTCTCTGAACCAGCGAACCTCTTCACCTCACGCCTTCTTCTCCTCTTCCACTGACCAATCTTCAAAGACCGGTGCTGTAGATCGCGGTGTGTGTCTATCGTCTATCGACAGGAAAAGCCGCAGCTGCTGCTGTTGCTGCGGTAGCTTCTGTCAGCGACACGCACGGCTTACTGTTGTTGTTGTTGTGATTACCATCGACCACCTCTACCAACATCACAATGGAAGAAGAGGAAGAGATCACGGCAACGGCAAAGGCTGCTGCTGCTGCTGAAGCCGCTTCGCCGAAGCTTATCGTCGCCGAAAAGTCGCAGCCCTCCTCACTGAAGCCCTCCTCGGTGACTAATGGTGCTCTAACAGTTCCAGCTCCAAAGACTTCACTCGTCACCACCAACGGCGACCTCCTTCACGATGACGAGCACAAATCAAAAGGAGTCGACATCAGCAGTGCAGCCGATTCAGCCCTTGCCAATGTTGATCCAAAACAGAAGCAAGAAAATGGCGATCATCAGGCGGCAGCAAGCAATCAGAAAGAGGGCAAAGATGCTGAAGACCCAGAGAAAGCAGACAAGGAGTTGCCCTCACCGGAGACGGCCAAGTCGAAGTCGACCGCTGCAGAGATTGAGGGCGGCGAGGACGACAATGCCGTCGACGTGGACCTGCTGACCGCACCGGCGGCGGCGGCGGCGCCCAAAGAGGAGGTAGAAAACGACCCCAACTTTGCCGTCATTTGCTCCTTTCTGGCGCAGTTTGGCGCCGCCCTTGAGATTCGCTACTCCATCTGGCAGCTGAAGATGATGTTCGAGGACTACAGTAAAGGTAGGCGGAGAAGGCCGGTGATTTAGAATCGGCCTTTTTAAGCCTAATCACTTTGTTGTTCTTTCCCACCAGTTCGCCCCGACCTCGTGGAGCTTCACATCAAGCTGCTGCGCAAGCGGCGCAAGTACATCAACAAGGAGCGCTGGGAGCAGGCGCTGGTCAAGTTCTGCCACGAGTACTCCTACGCGGACGCCTGGGAGCTGGAGCGCTTCGGCTACGGCCAGGCGAAGCTCTCCCTGCGCCTGCGAATCTTCGTCCGCCTGCTCGAGGCGATGTTCGACTTTAACCAGAAGTTCAAGTCGGAGCTCAACTCGGGCGGCGACTCGGGCCGCCTGCGCGAGCAGTCCTTTGGCCGCGACATCAGCGGCTTCAACTACTGGTACCAAATTGATCCTGATCTCAACTTTCGCCTGTACAAGGAGGAGCCCGACGAGGAGGGCTCGTGGTCGCTCGTGTCGAGGTAGAACCTTCTTTTGTGCATTAGTTTGAGTTTTTGATAACCTTAGTTTCTTCTTTCTCCTAGGACAATGACCGAACTGAACGACTGCATTCAGCAGCTGTCGACCAAGACGAAGGCCGACATTAGGCTGGAGTCGTCCTCGAACAGCGACGAGAGCAACAGCAACCAGGCGATGCTGCTTCTGCTGAACGGTAAACTCCTTGAAGGGGAGGAGGACGACCGAACTGAGCAGAAAAAGTCTTCTGAGGATGCTGAAGAAAATGATGAAGAGGAGGAGGAGGAGGAGGATGAAGTTGAGGCGATGCAGGTCGACGAAGAAGAAGAAGCGGAGGAGAAAGAGGTACCTCGGGTGAAGGAAGAGGACGAAGAGGAAAAGGAAGTGGTGGAGAGTGAAACGAAGCCAGGCTCCCCAGGCTCCAAACTGCTGAAAGACGATGTGAAGAAGCCCTCCACCGAGGACGGCGACCAGGACACTAGTTTCGAGGAGGAGCGTACCGAATCGCCCACCAAAACAGCCACAACAGCAACTAATGACGTGCAATCAGCAGTGGAGAGCGAAGTGAGGCACCTCTGTGATGATCTGCTCAATCGGGTCCTCAAGGAAGAAGGAGGCGGAGGGGAGGACGTCGAGGAGGAAGTTCATCCACTTGAAGATGACGAAGAGCAGGAGGAGGAAGAAGAGCAGCAGCAGAAGCCGAGCAAGGCCAAGTCCACCGCCCGAAAAGGCCGCGGACGTGGCTCGAGAAGTCGCGGTCGCAGTCGAAAAGGCGGCCGAAAAGCGAGAGGGGCGGCGGCTCGAAGCGCTCCGGCGAACAAGGCAGCGGAAAATGATGAAGAAGAAGAGGACAAGGAGGAGGAGGCTGCTGAAGAGCCAGAGACAGCAGCTGAAACACCGAAACCAGCCGCCAAACCAGCTGCCACCTCTTCTGTTCGAAAGCGCAAAACGGAGATCGACAAGCTGAAGGAGGACTTCACCGAGGACATGACCAGTCGGCGGTACAGTCGGAGGGTGCAGGCCCTGCAGGAGAAACGGCAGAAGGAGCTCGAGGAGGAGCAGCTCCGCCTGGAGAAGGAGCTGGAGGCGAAGCGGGCGAAGAGGGAGGCGGCCAATGCCGCTAAGATGGCGCAGATGAAGTTGATTGCCGCCGCGGCGGCCGCCTCTGCGACCTTTCCTGAGCCCGAGGAAGACGCCGACAGCGATGAGGAGGAGGCGGGTGCAAAGAAGCGAAAACGGCGGCGACGAAAGAAGGATGATGTAAGTGGTGGTGGTGGTGCTGGTTTTTTATATACCAAATCTTGATTTTAATTTTTCCATCTTTTCCCCACTAGAGCGATGAGGAAGAGTACCAGCAAAAGAGAAAAAGAAAAGGAGCTGTTGCGGCTGCCGACTCCGATTTAGATGACGATGAAAACAGCAATCAGGCGACGACTAATGGCGGTGGCAAGAAGAAGCGGCGACGAAGACGGAAGAACGGCAAGGGCGGCGGCGGTGGCCGTCGGCGGAACCACAACCCCTGGGAAGATTCAGAGGACTCTGAGGACCAGGCAGGCGGTGAGCACCACTTCGAGGAGGACTACTACTACGAGGAGGAGGAGGAGGACGAGGTGCTGCGCTTTGACGTCGATGACGGGGCGGATGAGTTTGCCTGCGAGGAGATTGACCCCAATGAGCAGCCGGTGGTGGTGAGGAGGGCGAGGACGGTCAAGAAGGGTAAGTGCAAGATTGAGATTTCTTATGAAGGGTTTGGATTAAGGTTTTCTTTTCCCTTTTCTCTCCCCAGCCAAAGACGAGCTGATTGACGGCGAGGAGCTGGTGGTGAATGATGACAAGCCCTGCGGACGGTGCGCCAAGTACGACAATCCGCAGTGGGTAAGTGTTTGGAAGTTTATTATTTTGGAACGTTGTGAAATAATGCTCATTTTCCCCCTCACCAGATTCTGCTTTGTGATAAGTGCGATGAGGGCTACCACACCGCCTGTCTCCGGCCGCCGCTCTTCATCATTCCCACCGGGGACTGGTTCTGTCCGCCCTGTGAACACGTTAGTCAATACTGAAAGGTTTTATATTTTTGTTTTATGTTTTTAACTCCTTTTTTCCCGGTTTCTTGCAGACTCTACTCATCGAACGCCTCAACCTCGAGTACGTCCGCCTGAGCGAGGAGTTTGAGCGCCTGGAGGCGGAGAAGCTGGCCACACGGAAGAAGTGGAAGTTCAGCTACTGTGACATTAGCGCAGAGAATCTCATTGGCGAAGAGGAAGAAGGGGAGGAAGGAGAAGGAAATGAGGGCCTGGAAGAGGGAGGCGAAGGATCGCATAATCAAAAGAAGAAGAAGGCCACATCGTCGTCCAGAGGAGGTGGTCGTCGGAAGACTGCCGCCAAACGACGTCCACGAAACAATGGCTTCGTTCGCGATGAGATTGGCGCCTTCTTTGATGAGGAAAGCGAAGACGACGATGATGATGACCTCGATGATGATGATGACGACAGCGAAGAGGAAGAGGAAGAAGAGGAGGAGCTGACTGGCAGCGACCAGAGCAGCAGCGACAACGAGCAGGAGGAGGAGGAGGAGATGGACGAGCTGGGCACGCTGGCATTTGCCGATGACGCCAACGCCAACGCCAGCTCGAGCCGCGAGCGGCGACGCGAGGAGAAGCGGCGAAAGCGGAAGGAGCAGCTGCGGCAGGAGCGCAAAGACCGCAAGAAGAAGGAGAAGATGGTCGACGTGAATGACTTTAGCCGCTCGGGGCTGAAGCTGCGCAAGGCGCGCACGAGAAAGCCCATCAACTACCTCTTTAAGGAGTACGACGAGCTGATCAAGTCGGCCTGCTTCAACGAGGACGAGACGGCGGCCTACGGAGAAGAGGCGGCCGGGGCCGAAGAGGATGACGAGGATGATGAGGATGAGGCCGCCGATGGTGGGCTCGAGGATGAAGAAGAGGATGGGGAAGGTGAAGGTGGTGGGGGAACACTGCCCAGGAGCAAGGGCAAGGACATCTCCAACATACTCAGGGCCAACTCGGAGATGCCCGACTTTTCGGTGAATCCCTTTGAAGGAGGTGGTTCTGGCACCACCACCACCACGACCTCTACCACAGTCGTCGGCGCGGCAATCACCGCAGTTCTCACCTCTGACAGGACGACGACCACCACTGAGATGATCACTGCCGAGGTGTCGACGAAAACCACCACAGTAAAGATCGGCGGTGAGGACGATGACGACGAGGACGAAGAGGAGGATGAGGAAGGTCATCCTAGCAAGGCCGCCAAGAGGCCTAAGAAGATGCAAGCTTCCTCTCGACGCAGCTCAAAGGCCTCCTCCTCCTCGAAGTCAGGGGCGAAGCCCCGGAAGAAGAAGAAGTTCAGCTCGCTGGACTTTAGCGAGGACGAGGCGGACGACGACCGCGCCTCCGATGAGGACTTCATGGCGGGCGAGGATGAGGACGGCAGCGAGGAGCTGACCGAGCTGGAGGACAATGACGACGACGACGATGGGGACGGCTCGGAGTTGTCGGACGCCGACTCGGACCTGGTCGTCTCGCGGCGGCGGACGAGCGCTCGCGTCAGTCGGACGCCGGCGAGGTACGGCGGAAGAAGAGGGGGAGGAGGAGGAAAGAAGAAGAAAGGCAAGAAGGGCAAAAAGGGAAGCTCGAAAAGCAAGAAGCGGAAAGGTCGTGGCTGGAGTTCGCGCTACTCGGACTCGGATGAGGAGGAGGACGATGACGATGACGACGATGCGGAGACCACCGAGGAGGAGGAGGAGGAGGAGATGTCAGACATGAGCTCGGACTATGAGCCCGGCGGAAGGGGTAAGAAGAAGAAGCAAAGGGCCGCATCGACGAGGACCCGAGTCAGCTACCGAGAGGAGACTACCACGGAGGAGGAGGACGATGATGACTGGGGCGGTGGTAAGAAGAAGAAACAGCAGCAGAAGAAGAAGAAGCGGAAGGTGGACAGTTCCGAAGAGGAGGAGGAGGCGAATCTTACTGAAGGCGATGAAGAGGAGGAGGAAGAAGGGGAGAAAGAAAAGCCAGATGATCCGTTTGTGGCCAGGACCAAGGCGACGACGGCCCCGCCCAAGGCCACCTACACCAGGACGCCATTTGCGAAGCGGTCCACGGCGGGCAACAAGCGACGATACATTGAGGACGATGAGGAGGAGGAGGAAGATGGAAAAGATGAGGGAAAAGATGATGCCGAAGAAGGTGATGAAGGTGAGGAGGTGAAGGCCGGCCCCTCATCGAAACGCCTTAAAACAACTGATGAATCGTCGAAGGTGGTAACTGCCGTCAAAGGCACTGGCAACAAGTCGAAGAAGGAGGAGGAAGTGGCAGTGGTAGCGAAAGCTGAACCACCACCACCATCAACTTCAACTTCCACCGAGCACTATCACCAGCCGCCGACGCCCACAATACCAACGGTGCAGCCCTTTAGAGGATTCATCAATGCGAGCACTGGGGCACCAGTGCCACCACCACCACCAACATCTACCACTTCATCGGACCCGCTCAGCTCGATGAAGCAGATGAACTCCAAGTTGGAGGGCGCATATCCACCACCACCGCCGACTTCGAATGCTCCACATCCGCATCAGAACTTTGCGCTGGCCTCGGTGGCCGCGCTTGGCTCAAGTCCGAGACATCCGGTCAGCTCTGCTGCTTCTCATGCAGTACTGCCACCACCCTCGATGCCGCCTTACTCCACTGCTGGTGGTCCTGGTGGTCCACCACCACCGCCGCCGGGAGCTTATGGACACCACCCTCACCCTCCTCCTGGTGCTCCTCCCCAGGCATACCAAACACACCCTTACCATCATCCTCAGCACCCTCAACATCAGGGACCACATCCACCACCACCACCTCATATGATGCCTCACCCTCAGTACGCTGGTGGTCCTCCGCCTCCACACGGAGGTATGCCCCCGCCTGGTGCACCCTATCCCCAACATGGCGGCCAACCTCATCATCACTACCCACTACCTCCTCCTCATCCTCAGCAGCAATACGGTCCACCACCTGGAGGACCACCACATCGGTACGGGCCACCGCCGCCGCCTCATTCGGCCTATCTTCAGCACCAGCAACAGCCCCCACCACAGAGGCACCCTGGAGGAGGAGGAGTTTCACCTCAGTACGGTGGTCCACCACCAGGAGCCTACCCGGGCCCGATGATGCATCATCAGCAGGGACCACCACCACCACCAGGGTACATGGCAGGACATCGACCACCAGGTCCTCCTCAAGGACCTCAGGGACCTCCACCGGGTCCACCAGCACTATCTCCATCAGCAGCTGCCCCCTCTCAGCCGTCGCCCACCGCTCAGAGGCCATCCTCTCGAAGTAGCACCCACAGCAGCGGCAGTGAGGCAATGCCGCCATCCTCGGAAGCTGCCCCATCTGCTGCTGGACCACCACCAGCAAAGGACGAAGAGACGAGCTACAGTGGCAGCAACTCGGCGGGCAACTCGCCGCCGCAGCTGCTTAACCTCGACTCGGGCACTACCACGTCTTCCTACTCGCGGCCACCACCAATGCCACCTGGGCCTTATCCGGGCGGAAAGCCTTCAGCAGGACCACCGCCTGGACACCCGCAGCAGCAGCACTACTACCCACCACCACCACCACCAGGATATCACCATCCTCACGATCCAAACGGAGTTCCGGTGAGCGGAGGAGGAGGAGGCTATCCGCCTTATTCGCATCCAGGCGGAGCTCCGCCGCCGCCGCCCTACTACACCTCAGCACCACCACCGCACCACATGCACCACCAGCCACCACCTCATCCAGGACACTATCAACCTCATCTTCACATGCCGCCGTACAGTCATCCACAGCCATACCCACCACCACCACCTCATTCTCAGGCAGGTGGACCACCACATTCGCCCTATCTGCAGCGAACTCCATCGCCCCATCACCAGCAGCAGCGATCACCCTCTCCATTTCCACCACCACCACCACCATCTTCGAGTGCCCCGTCGCCGAACAGCAGCCCAGCAGTGCCGCCGTCCACCTCGGCGATTGCCACCAAAGGCATGAGCACACCGCCGCGTCCCGGGGCGCCGCCTCACCCTCTGCAGATGTCCTCACCTTCCGGTCACCCTCACCCTCATCCGCAGTACGGGCCACCACCACCAGGACACTACGGCAGTCCGTACCATCAAGGCGGATATCCACCACCACCACATCCAATGTCCCCTTACAGTCAGCCCCATCCTCATTATCCTCAGGCAGCAGGGCCACCACCTCCATCGCAACAACCACCACCACCAAACGGCGGCTTCATGATACAGAACCTGCTGCTGGCGCAGAAGAACCAACCGCTGGCGTCTTCTTCGTCCGCTTCTTCTCCGGTTCCAGTCACTGCCACCAAATCGAGTGCAAAGGGTACCAAATCAGGTGCGGCAGGCAAAGGGAGCAAAAAGGGCGCCAAGGCAAGTGCAGCTGTTGCAGAGGCGGTGGGAAAGGAGGCCACTGATGGGCCTATACCGACGCCGGTGGCCACGGCTGCTGTTGAGGCTGCTGCGTCATCAAAGTCGGTGAAGGCGCCCAAAGCGCCGAAGGAGAAGAAGCCCAAGGCGCCCAGCAAGAAGAAGGCGGCCAAGGGAGCTGCCACTGCCACCACTGAAGACTGAAGACTGCAATTCTCACTCACCCATTCATTCACTCACTCATTTTCACTCCCCACAGCTACCCATAATGTACAAAGAAGACTGATGAGAAATCTCCCCCCNTAAGGGAGCTGCTGCCGCCACTGCCACCACTGAAGACTGAAGACTGCAATTCTCACTCACTCATTTTCATTTCCCACAGCTACCCATAATGTACAAAGAAGACTGATGAGAAATCTCCCCCCCCCTCCCACTCTTTCCTTTCCTGGTCTGAGAACACCTTCATCATTACCACCACTTTACCGTACCACAGTTTATCGTACACACAGGTCACACGCAGCTACACAAATGGTACACCACCACTTGTTCTGGCTCTTATTTATTGAACTACTCTGGGGCCGTACGCTACCTATTCACCCCACACACACAGCTTATTAGACTCATTTGGCCATTTTTATAATACCACATTCAACCAAACACCGACACTTTGAAAATACTTAATAACATTGATATATGACACGATAACTTCACTCCCTTTCTTTATTATGACTGACTTTCTCTCTTTCTAGACTAGAACAGTTGGCTGGTGGGAATGTCTCTCTTTTCCAATCCTTTCAAGAAGGTGACGGGCTGGAGCAGTTAAGCGACGCGTAGTCCTCCAGGTCGAGGGCCACCAGGACGCGGTGCTCGGTGGCGTTGAAGTAGACCATGGCGGCGAGGNCGCTACCTATTCACCCCACACACACAGCTTATTAGACTCATTTGGCCATTTTTATAATACCACATTCAACCAAACACCGACACTTTGAAAATACTTAATAACATTGATATATGACACGATAACTTCACTCCCTTTCTTTATTATGACTGACTTTCTCTCTTTCTAGACTAGAACAGTTGGCTGGTGGGAATGTCTCTTTTCCGATTCCTTTCAAGAAGGTGACGGGCTGGAGCAGTTCAACGACGCGTAGTCCTCCAGGTCGAGGGCCACCAGGACGCGGTGCTCGGTGGCGTTGAAGTAGANTTTCCGATTCCTTTCAAGAAGGTGACGGGCTGGAGCAGTTCAACGACGCGTAGTCCTCCAGGTCGAGGGCCACCAGGACGCGGTGCTCGGTGGCGTTGAAGTAGACCATGGCGGCGAGGAACTGCCGGTAGCGACCCTCCACCGAGGCCACCCACCGATTGGCGCAGGAGTGCACCAGACGGCTGTCCGCGCCAAAGTCGACCTTGTTCAGGGGGCTTCCGTCGAGCAGCGGCCGGAAGATGGCCTCGCGGACGGTGGTCAGGCTGTTTCCGCCCAGGTGGACGGTCAGCTGACGGTGGTGGTGGTGACCACTTCCGCTGAAGACGCCCACCGGGAAGCTGTCATCAGTGAGGTGGTTGTCTTCGAGGAAGATCGCCGTGGAGAGTCCGCGGAGGTGGCCACCGTAGTCGGTCTGAAAGCGAAAGGCATCTCTACCAACTGTGGCTATCTGCTGTCCGTAGAGGTCAATGGTTCGCAGAGCGGGCAGGTAGTAGAAGGCCTCGTCTTCGATGCCGGTCAGTTGGCCCCTGTTCTGACGATTAAAGTTGAGCGAGAGGTCGGTGAGGCGGTTGTGGACTAGAAAGTGGCGAGGGAGGGAGCCGTTTAAGTGAAGCAGGTCCAGGTAGAGCCTTTCGAGGTTCGGGAGGCTGCTGATGAGCAGCTGAAGTTGGGGGAGGTTGCGGGTGATCAAGTACTTTGATGTGCTGCCCTCAAAGCTCAGCTGCTGAAGAGTGGCGGCGGCGGCTGTTGTTGGGGAGAAAGCTGCGGTGGAGTTTATGGAGGAGAGGGCGGCGAGGTTCTTCAGTGCCACCGTCTCAAAGCTGAGGCCGGCGGTGAAGTTGGCGGGGAGGTGGCGAAGGAGGGCGAGGCCGTCCAGTTCGAGGCCGATGAAGTGGAAGGAGTGGAGAAGATGATCATTTGGGTTCGAGGTTCTTTCGAGGTACTGCGCCACTCGCTGGAGAATGGGCTCCACGCGGACGATGCCGCCGTGGTAGCAGTAGATGGTGCTCAGGGTGCAGCTGCATGGCCACAGGATGGATGGTGGGGGACAGGGGGTGATGGTGGAGGTGGTGGTGGTGGTGGTGATGGGGTGATCATCGCTGACTAGGGTGATGCTTCTTTGCAGTGAGCTGCTGATGCTAATAAGGAAAAGAAAGCTCCAAACTATGATCATGGTTTTGTGGAGGTTCTAAATTGGTGAGTAGAAAAGTGTAAACACACACACACACACTTCTTTTTTGTCGTCCATTCTTTGATGCTCTTTCTCTTTCTCTCTACAGCTGCTGCTGCTAATCTTATCAACTTTCTCCTCCAGCGCAACTACCATCGCTACAGGTGTGCCATCAAGCACCACCAAACACTGCTGACACTGCTCAGTGTTTGCATAGCACTTT